ACTTTTTGATACAACACGAAGCTGGCATTGTTTTTGTATCACAGTAATCTCACATCTCACACACGTCATTACGTCACATACATAGAACTGCCGCCATTTTCTCGGATACAACCGGAAATTGCATGCGACACAAGTCCGAAGCTTTAAGAGCCGTCTACAATGGAGAGTTGTAGGCCGTAACAGTAAGAAATTGACAAATCACAATCGATTATTCTTCTGTACTTTGTCTGTGATTGGTCAATTTCTTACTATTACGGCCTACAACTCTCCATTGTAGACGACCCTTTAGGTAGCAATCTAGTTTAGTATAGACATCTGTGATTTCTTACTATTACGGCCTACAACTCTCCATTGTAGACGGCTCTTTACTAATATCTTATTGTAGAATGCCCTTTATGTAGAATGGTCTTAAAAAGTTTGAGAATAGAGCAGCTCTTTTTACAAGTGTAGTGTGTACTGTTTAAAGGACAAGTAAGCAATTTCTTATATATACTAAGAAATATAGTAAGAAATAAAAGATTGTTATTTAATCTTAGCTAATTTTGTTATTTAAGGTTAGCTAAATTTTAATCAATATTTAATAATATTTTACGATAAGTGTTTTAAAAAGATATTCTATTAAGTTTTACACATAATTGTAAGCAGATTATTTTATTATATATACAACATTCTTATTAATATTGCAAGTAAAGTATTTATTAAATAAAAATGTGGTTAATTTTTAATAATATTTTAACTATACATATATATATATATGGCTTTTTGTTTCAGAATGGCTCGTTCACCAATTAGCATACTTCAAGAATTTGTAGTTAAACAAGGTTATATACCTACATATGATTTTTTTATACATAACAATTACTTTGGTTGTAAAGTGACTTGTGGAGATCTAAGTATAGATGGTGAAGGCAAAAGTAAAAAGGAGGCTAAAGTTAATGCTGCAACAAACATGCTATTGATGCTAACCAAGAATACAAGTTTACATACTACAAATAATTCTTTATCTACAATTGCACAAAGTGGGAAATCAACAGAATCATATGGCACAGTATCTTCAGTAACACAGTCAAATCAAGCAATTAAAGATATAAATAATGAACAAAATATATGTGAAAACATCTATGAGTACAAGTCAATCTGTACATTTATTAATTATGTTGGACAATTGCAAGTAAATTTCCAAATTTTTTCTTATACACCTTGTATTACTTATATACCTAACTTTTTTAAAATTTAATTATTAAATTTATACAATTGTCTTATGTATAGGAATATTGTGTGCAACAATATAATACTACAGGTAATATTTCATATAATGTCATTGATGAGAGTGGACCACCACACATGAAGATATTTATCATAGAAGCGTGTTTTGGATCATCACAAGCACAAGGCTCAGGACAAACTAAAAAGACTGCCAAACAAGAAGCTGCAAGAAACTTGCTTCAACTTCTAAAAAAAGAAAGTTATCCAAGACAAGTACAGGCTACAAATGTGAATTGTGCAAATACTCTAAATCAAGAAAAGCTAGAATATCAAATACAAAAATTAGGTGTAGCAATATCAGAATGTACAATTAGCAAGCCATTACTCAAAGAAGCAGACATACTGAAAAAAGCAAAATCATTGTATCTTCAGACTACCAGTACAAACACATCAAAGTTTTACTCTAAAGGTCTTATAAAAGATAGTCATGCGTTATTTGAGGAAACTTATTCTAGTAGAATTTCTTCTAGTTTAAGAGAAAAACTGCAAGTTATACATAATAAAAGAGATAAAAGTATGATAAAAGAGAACTCATACAGTATAATACGAGAAGTTAAACAAGACATTGAAAATGAATTTGGAGGTAAGGTACAACTATTCGATATACCTAGTAAACAAGCATACGTGATAGGTTTACGTTTATTGTCTAAACCCAATATTACACAACTTGGCATGGGTGTAACTAAAACTGAAGCAGAGACTCGAGCAATGTACAACTTGATTGTAGTCATCTTAACACTTCTGAATTAATTTTTTGAGATGATAGATTGTCTCAGTTATAATTACGTTCCAACAAGTGTGCCGAGTTAATCTTAAGATATAGCTTTCTTATTTCAAAATAAGATATTTTTTTCCAGAAAATAAAGTATAGCAATGTATTTTTCTTCATAACAATACCCAAAATTGACGATACTAGTTCGCGAGTCGCAAAATATGTATTGTTTAAAAAATAAAAAATAGTATAGTGACGTTAAATTGCCGATACATATGTACATAACGTAACTTAATAAGAAACTTTTAAACAACTATAGGTCTGTTCTTTTTACCTGAACTAGTGTAGCTAGTTCAGAGTTTAGCTTTCTTCCATTGTAGAGTGAAAAAGATGAAATCTGAACTAGTGCAGCCAGTTCAGATAAAAAGAATAGACCTGATGTTTGTGTACACACAAGTGAGGCAATTTGCAAATATAATTGTTCTATTACTATGTATTTTAATTACAAGTTTATTACTTTTATGTTAACACTTAATATTTATATATAATGTTATATGAATATTGTTTATATTAAAATGTATTAAGTTTAAAGCTTTGATATATATTTTTTTACAAGTAGAAAAAGACAAGTGCGTGTGCGCTTTTAATCATTTAATAATCGCGTTCAGCAGAACAATTATTGAGTTTTCTTGTCAATACTCGGCGTTGATTTTTCGATTTTACAAATAAGAGCCAATCACGATTCAATTGCCATAAGACAACTTTGTTCTGCTGAACGTAGCCAGTGTTGTTGCGAAATCGCGTTTTTGCTCATGCACACTGCGCTGCTAGAAGAATACAGTAATGTACAGAGGAGTGCACCGCATCGTTCCGCTCTAAAGGAAGTTTTTCTCTGAAATCTCTTTTCTGGCTGCTTCTACTACCGCGCGGCGTACTCTTTCGATCTCCGCCAGCGGCTCGAGATTGAAGGAAAACGGTGCGCGGTAGTAGGGACAGCCGGAGGAGAAATTTCCGAGAAATACTTCCCCTGGAGCGGAACGATATGATGCACTCTTCTGTACATATATATGCACGTAAATGATGGGCACCAACATGTACAGTTTTGGCGGGATCTCGCAGTAGGGACTGAGAAGGTTAAAGAGCGTAGGATAAAAAGGTAAGTTAATGTTATAATTATTTATTTGTGCAATATTAGTGCAATAATTTTGCAGTATGGATTCCAATATTGCTACAGGAGCCATTAAAAATCAAAGTACAAAAAATTTTTCAATTCGTGGTTAAATGAAGATATTTTCAAAGGATGGTTGGCTCTCCATTCAGAACCTAATAAAGCTTTTTGTATCGTGTGTAATGTCAGCATTTGTAATACAGATTTAGTACGGCATTCACAAACGGCTAAACATATAGATGCAATAAAAGGTCAAAATCAATGTCTCGACGTTAACATTATTTCTCACAAAGAAAAAGTAAAACGAGCGGAGATAAAACTAGCTGCCGTTTTTGCTGAACACAATGTAGCTTTTTCTACGGCTGATCATTTAATTCCTTTAGTAAAAAATATTTGTTTAGATCCTAAAGTTGTACAAGATTTGTCACTAGGCCGAAATAAGTGCACTAATATTGTGACAGACGTTTTAGCCAAACGCGAAACAAAAAAATTAGTTGAAATTTTAAAAATACAAAAATTTTCGATTTTAATAGATGAAAGTACAGATATTACGGATACAAAATTCATGTGCGTTCTCGTTAAATATGTTTCAATAGATAAAGAAATAAAAACACAGTTATTAGAGTTGTTACCNTTAGATGCCACAGACTGTAGTGCAAAAAAAATATTTCAAATTTTTNAAGCTTTTTTTCTTGAAAATAATATTCCTTTAAAAACTATAATTGGAATGGCAAATGATAATGCATCGGTAATGATTGGGTGCAATAATTCTTTTTATATGCATTTAAAATCTGAAGTTCTAAATTTAATTATGTTAAATTGTATTTGTCATTCCACAGTGCGCGATTATTGCAAGTAGAGCATGTGAAAAATTACCGCTAGATTGTGAATATTTAATTAGAGGAGTCGCAACTTATATTTTGGGTAGTGCAAAACGTTGTGCAATTTTTACAGAATTTCAAGATTTCTTTAATGTACAAAAAACCAAAATTTTAAAATTATGTAATACAAGGTGGCTAGTTTTACATCAATGTGTCGAAAGATTACTCCAGAATTGGGATGTATTAAAAAATTTTTTCACTTTGGCTATAGAAGATCACTCAAAATCTGCGGAAGATACTTTGTCATTACTAAACAATAATTCAATTAAAACTTATTTTTTGTTTCTAAAATATTCATTAAATTTTTTAAATACTTTTAACGCTTTATTTCAATCGCGCAAAATTCTAATTCATAAATTATTTAATAGAAGTAATCAAATAATAATTCAAATAGCTCAAAATTTTATTATTCCCAAAGCATTGAATAACATTGCTAATTTAAACATAGATGATGAACAAAATATTAAATCTCTGACCGATATATATGTAGGGCTGTATTGTGAAAATTTTTTAGCGGAACAATCTTTGGATAATATTGAACAAATTAAATTAAAATCCCAGGCAACTAGCTGACATTATAATGACGTTAATATAAAGTCACTTTTTGACCAGTTTGACGTTAGTTTATGACGTGATATTAACGTAATGACGACGTGAGTTTGTCTCGTCAAAAATGACGACAGGTTACTAACGTTACGAGGAGTTTTTTTCGCAATATTTTAAATCAATTAGGGGGGGTATTCGGGGTCTATTATATATAAGATGCAAAACTAGCATCCTATATGAATTTAAGAATTGAAATTTCAATTCGAAAAACACACGTGAATAACGTGAATTTACTTATATGTGTGTACACACATATAAGACATATTTTCCGCGCAACATCCTGCGAACGGCTCTTTAAGACTTATTTATTCATTCATTAAGTTTAATAAACTTCATGAGCCAGAGAAAGATACTCAATTTAATATTGATTTTTAATAAAATAATAATTTAAATAAGTAATAAATTAAAAATACTGCAGTGCAATATTTTTAATAAAATGCCTGCAACAATGCATAAGATTATTTCTCTTATTATTATTATTATTATTATTTTATTTAATTTAAGATACATTTTTCAGCAAAAACAAATTTTTTGTTAACATGTACTGATTATTAGTCAATTCTTAATAAATATATACCAAATGATAATATAGAAAAATATGTACATATTTAAACGTATCAATTTTATTATATAATAATTATTATATAGTAAAAATGTTATACATAAACAAAGTGTTTCAAGTTGATATACTACATTTTGAAAATAAAGCNTTTATGTTTAAAACAAAAGTTGTTAGGTTTTTACAACAACGTAGCGAAAGATATACACAGTTTGTCCGGAAAGTTCCCGGACTACGTGAATTAAAAATCGAAAATGAAAGATATGGTTTATTAAACAAGTTTACACTTCAA